ACGAATTAAGAGAAAGAAAATCGAAACCCATATGAATATGGTATGAAATCACTAAAGAGAAAAAAAATCATTGAAATATATATTGAAAAAGCAATGCCGTAAAAATCCATTGATAGCCTCAAGATGAAAGGCGGCCTTGAAAACGAAAAGTTTCCAAGGCAGGCAAGAGTATATTGACTAGAGTTAGAAGTTGTGCCTAGTCGCTACGCATGGGAAAGAGAGGCAGCGCCTCTGAGGCGCCTCTCCAAGAATGGCCTAGGGAGGTGGCAACAAGCTCTCTTTTCTGAACCAGTGGAGCACACCAGCAAGAGGGCCCCCACCCCAGGCGGCCGTGCCAGCGCCCGCCCTTGTATGCGCAATCCCCGCCTGCCCTCACTGGATGCGTGGGACTCTTTGCATGGCAGGCAGCTGTGGCGCGCACCATGCCGACAATCCCAGCAACCAGACACCGACCCAATGGGTCGGCCGGGGGTCACTTGAGCTTGTCCGGAGACGCGTCCGATGGCGCGGGCGACACCCGGTGCAGTAGGCGGACCTCCAGCGAGGCGGACGTGGAGCTCCACGTGCACTGCCTGTGGTTCACACGGAAAGGTATGCGCCTGCTGCCTTCCTAGGCGCGTTTGCGCGCAATGTGGTGCGCAAGCCAATGGCGAGTCTGATCATCACGGATTGTGAGGCAAAGGGGGCGTGATGGCCCTCGGCTGGCCGTGGCCGCATTCCCTACCATTCCCTCTTGGACCCGACGGTTGCCGGCCTTGGTCCCGGGAGCACTGCAGATCGCCGGGAGTGTGGTGCGGATTGATCGCCCCATCATGGGCGGGACGGGATCAGAACCCTGCCGCTTGACGGCCGCGCTTCTGGGCGCCCCTGGGCACCAATCGCATCCGCGTGGCACCATGAATTCTGCGTCGGCTGTCTGAGGAAATGGGCATCGGGGAGAAGGAACCCCCTCTGCCCGCTGTGCACGGCGCCCATCCATGGCACCGTGCTGCCCACCGGTGCGGTCGAGCCAGCTGTCCCAAAGGCGGCGACAACTGAAGAGGAAGAGCCAGATCTTGGCTGCCTGGACCATGCGTACTTCCTGGCGGAGACGCCCAGGACCGACAGGAGCCTGCTTGCGAAGTGGGGCACCAACTGCGGCCAAAGCTTCCGCTGCAGCTGCCCCAACATGCCGGACAGCAACATCAAGGCAGAGGCGGTCAAGGGCGGGGGGCTGGTGGTGTACGCGGAATTGCAGCGGCTGATGCAGGGCATGTGGCTGGAGCTTGCCGAGAGTGACACCGGCAAGAGGCTGCTGCGGCTGAGGAGCCCTGGCCGCGGCGAGCTGCTGCTGGTAGTGTTTCTGGTGTTGGTCAAGTGCGTGGGCCACCCGTGCCTGTTAATCGACGCACAGCCCCCTGCATGTTTGCGTTGTGCGCCGCACACTAGCTGTGCGGCATGTTCAGCGGGGGCGGACACATCTTCGAGGTGGAGCGATGGTGGATGACTGCCGGCTGCACGGGGCCTTTGTGACCATGACCGGCGGGGCATCGCGGCCTCCGTCCTGTGGCTCCGCAGCAGCCGTGGGGCAGCTACACGTGGTTTGTATCCACTGTTGGAGAGGATAGGCCGGACATTGGGCGTTCTTCCTCAACATCGCAGGTGACCTTTGTCTCACTTCGTCGGGCAACCCAGCTCACCACAAGACCTAGCACATTACAACGTGCTGGCGATTTGCACTTTTCCGCTGTTGGGGCATCCCAAGGATCCAAGACTATGATGATGACCAGCCCAGCAGCGAGGCACCCACACCCTGCTCTCTAGACTTACCCCCAAGAGCACGTGTGCTATGGACTACACTTGCCAACCAAGCTGCATACTTCAGTGGTGGCCGGCTACAATGCTTAGAGTCTAGGCAACGGACAACGACTACACCTACGGCTCCCCAAGGGTCTGGTCTTCAATCTGTATTGGAGATCGGTTCCTCCACCTAGTGCACAAGGATTGGCGGAGGAGTTTGGATAGTTTGGGATGGCTGCTATGCCTAGAGTCTGGACAAGGTTCAGGATAGTAGCTCAACAAGAGCACATTCACCCAAGCTCTCTAGCTACGCTTGCCAAGCAGGCTTTGCCCCAGGCAGCCCCTTGCAACTTAGAGGGTCCAAGATGTTGTAGGCAATGAGGCGCCCACTGACTACATCAACGTACCATGCAAAGTGGTGTGGAGTTTGCCTTGGGGGGGCTCCCTTGCACACAACATGGGATATCTCATTTTGATAGTCAGTGATCTAGAAAGGTGGATCAACACTTTGAGGGCCCTTGGGGAGATGGTGCTGAGCCATCCCCGAGGGGTTACCACCACCGTCGCTCAGCCAGAAGGTCAGAGAAGGCTAGAACTGGAGGGCCAACACTAGAGAAATGAGGCAAGGCAAGAGGCAGGGCACAGGTGTGGCTTGAGGTAGAAGGCGGAGGGTGTATGGCATGGTTGTTGCGGCCCCGTCGGCAGCCGCTAGTTTCCGGAGGCGTTGGGGTCGCCCTGCCCTGCAGCTCGGCTGTTGGAGGTCAGCCGGCCCTCTCCACCTTGGATGGTGGGCGTATCCGGGGCAGTCGCTCCTGTGGTCGCGCGGTGGGCCCAATGCTCGACGGGGATCGATCCCCGGGGCCTGCTGTCGGCGAGAGGTGGCGGCGCAGCGAGGCGGTGGTTCGCTGGCTCGCGGGAGGCCAGAGAGTGGGCCAAAAGTGTTACAACGATTCACTGCATGCGCGCGCACATATCGCATACGCGATGCCCGATCGCGGGTCCATCGCGGTCACATCATGACAAGACAAGACAAGTGCGCGTCCAGGCACATTGTCACCGTCCACCATTCACCTAAATCAGCTCCACATAATCCCCTATGCTTCCATCTACCGGTCCGAATCCCATGCTAAAGTATTGCAACTTCAACTGGCCATAACTTTGCCGTTTCTACACGGAATTGGACGTTTCAAGTCGCTATTGGCATCAGGAGCTCCTGAATAAGCTGATTTTGCCGTATTTGCACTTTTTTGACCAACCGCCGCTTCAGAAATATCAATTTTAGCCTAACCCCAAGCAGCCACGTCACAATGGTGAACATCTGTAGGGCACAAGAGGTAAATGCGTGCATATACTGCCATAGACAGTATCAGGAACTAAGATAACAATCATGGCATCAATTTAGCCACAAAACTATAAATAAAAAAAAAGAACAAACACCCGTCCAAAGGAGGGAGTGATGCTTGGGGGTGGGGAGAAATATGGGGATCGGGAAAGGGGGGCTGTGGGCTGTTAGAAAGTAGGGGTGCTGATCGGGAGGGGTCACCTCCCCGGGGGCGGGGGCCGCGGCTGCGCCGGGAGGCCGACGGGCTGGGGCCGGCGGGTCGGCAGTCCACCCCCGGGTGAGATTTGGTGCTGGGTGGCTGTCGCCGGTGCGCCCGGGTCAGCCCCCAGCAGGTTTCTTAGTAGGGGAGTGAGTTGAACTGTGGTGAGACACATATGTGCCCCTATTTAAGAAAGATTCAAAGTTTTGATGCAAATGTCTTATCGTATAATCATATAATACCGCCAACTGGGAAGAGTAGACTTCTTGGGCGTATCCAAGTACATAAGTAGGAAAAAAAATAAGTAACAGCACTAACATGACAATACGGAGTCAGGGCAGTGCGAGAAAGGGAAGCGAAGGGCGCAAAGTGAACGACCTGAACCGTACCTTAAGCAACACCCTGCGGTGCTTAACGGACACGCATGGAGTGCTGTCCCTCATATCCAGTCCGTTCATCAAGTCGCAATTCCTTCCAATTCCGTCAGCTTGCTATTTTGCCCGAGGAAAGCAGTGTGCCTATGATCGGCCTGGGGGCGCGCCAAGACCGGAACTGCCAAGAAGACGACTTCGGCAAACTAACCCCATTGCGCTCGGAGCGTACAGCGGGCGTTTGGACCGCCGCGCGCGGTTCTGCGCCGCACGGCCGCTCACCTCTGACCTCGGCCCCGCGGGCCCTCTGATCGACCAGGCGAAAGAGCCCGGAGGCGCAGAGGAACGGCCTTGCTTGGGGCCCTTGCATCCTTGCGGGAATCGGCGAGGCACCAGTCGGCGCGGCCTGCCGAGTCGCCGTGGCCCGGGCTGGGAGGTGCGCGGCTGGTGCGACCCACTTGCGTCGCAGAAAATAGGGCACTGAGCGGTCGCTTGCTTGGTAGCGCTGTGGCGAGTGACTTACCTGCGGGCCTGCAGGTGTCGGATCCTGGCCCAACACGCTGCGCATCCATTCCTTCCGGCCATCCACTCGCTGTGTTTGGTATTCCCTACGGCCGTCGATCGTTGTGCGGCTGGAGCAGGAAGGCGCCATCCCATTGAACGGCGCGTTTAAAGGCAACGTTAGGGCAGCGGCCCGAGTACGGGTCAAACCCCAGACGGGCCCAAGAGTGTGCGCTGCGTGCGCGGCATTTGATGGTCCATGTCGCTGCTCCTTGCTTCCGGTCCGCAGTGTGGATCGGGCGTCCCCGGAATGGTGTTGATCCAAAGCTCTGCGACTTTGATTCCTTGTCGGTAGCGCTTGCGTGGCAGTCCAAAGCTCCATTGATGGGCAGCAGAGCAAACCCAATATTTTGCAGGGAGGGGACGCCCTCCGCATCGTCTGCCGTCTGCTTGTGGCGATCCGTGCCTGGGCGGCTTTGCGGTACCTCTCAGCTGTCGCATTTTCCCAACAGTCGTGACAATGCACAACATTTGTCAGGCGATGTCAGGCTCAGTGAAGAGAAGCCGAAGTTGTTCCCAGCGACACGCCTGGCCTCCACCGGTCCCCGCTTCGCACGACCGGCCTTGGGCCTGGAGGTGTTTGGGCGCCCTCTTGTCGAGCTTTGATGACTTGCAAGATATTGTTGGCCCTTGCATGCCCAACGCATTCTGTGTTATTGCTGATCAGATTGCAGGGGTCTGTTGTGCTGAGTCTCGAGGGCTGATGCAGTGTCCCAGTCAGCGGCAGCTGGAGGCCTCTGTGCGCTCGATGCTGGATGAGCTGGGTATATCTCCACCCCAAGGTTTTGCCAAGCGGCTGAAGGAGCTCAAAGGCAAGCCCTGGAGGTGAAGAGTGTTTTCATCAAAGGCAGACATGCCATGAGGAAATGGCCCCACCCTCCCCAGCCCTGATCAAGACTTTCATGAGCATTCACTGGCGAAAACCTCAATGACTGCTTTGCTCCAACACTGAACAGATCGTTGCCCTGTCACCTATCAAGCAATTTAGAGTTCTGTACCATGCTGTGAAGATGGCTCAAGACAATCACAAGACTGTTGGCAGGAAATCCAGTCAATAACAAGTGCAAGACAGAGCTACTCATTGCCTTGTTGCCTGTCAGACAATGTTCAACCACAATGCCATACCGTATAGGTAGCTGAGAAATTCTTGGTGTGGTGGGAAAGGCCACACAGAAATGGCTGACCACCATATGGCCCAAACTGATTCATTGCGTCATTTCAGCCCTTTGGGTGGGCCACACATGCGACAAACCACATCTGACTGCATGGAAGGCATCTCCTGTCTCCCAACAATGTCCATCAGCACATGTTTGCCCTCTTATCAGTGCTTGAAGGACTTGCACAGATGCACAGATCGAAACAGCGGTATGCCATCATGTATGCAGAGTTTTGCTGTATGTTTATTTTGCCATTAAGTGCATATTACCTGCAGTGGCTACAGCAGCATAATTGCACTATATTATGCCTCCTGTTGCTTTCGTCTCTTAGCAGAGACTCCATTCTGTAGCATAAAGGAGTCAACGGAAAGCAATTGAGTGCTGCAGTCTGCAGCTCTTCTTGAAAACCGTTGAATCCATTTCTCGCTGTCTTGTCAAGCTATGTATCATAACTCATGCTGATGTTTTCGTGCTGTTGTGTGACAGGGCTCATCGAGGTAAGCCTGAAGGACCTCCTGCCCAGCACCCCCCCTGATGAAGTGCTGGCCAAGGCGTCTGAGGTTGCCGTCCGGATGATGGTGGATGATTCTGCCCAAAGTGGTGCCCTGTCGGGTGAGCAGGGCACAGCACATTGAGCCTGTGAGAAAATTGCATGGCGTCATGGCCTGTTCTTTCTCCTTCCCAATGTTGCCACAGTAAAACAGGCCCTGAAATCTCTCATTTCACCAAATCTTTAGCCCCAACCTTCTAGTGCACCAGCCCGGCAAACCCTCAAGATGGGAAAGTGGATCTGGTATGTGGTCATGCATCTGACCTTCAGAAAGGGGAAAAATGGCCAGTCCCGTGAGGATCTGCCTCACTTCGGCACACAAGTTCGGGTCTTTTCCCCTGTTTTCTTTCTTGGCTGTCCTTGAAACTCGTGGCCTCCAGCCTTCATTTCACAGCTGTACAGAAGCTTTTGTGAGGGTGTTGGTTCCTGGCAGCAGCTTGTTGCCTGCAGCAGCTGCTTGTTGTGTCAGCCATTCTTGCTATCATCAGGATGGGTTGAAAAGCTTGTCACTCCAACGAAAATCAAGCGTGTGTGGGAGTAGCACCTCGCAATCTTGGAGGGCGTTGTCAAGTCTGGGGGCAACAATGCACTTGTCCTGTGGCATCATTGGACTGCTCACATGACAGGCATGATGTGGAGCGGTGCAACGCCCTGGAAATCGAGGCTGATAGGGAGTGATTCACAGCCATGATGCCTGAGCTCCCGGACCTAGATTATGCAGTCTAGTAATCGACAACAGTTGTTCCAAGGGCTTTGATTTGGTCTTGACGAATCTGATGCAATGTAGACTTTCAGACCATCCTGTGGCTGAGCTTTGCGTTGTTTGTGATGTTGGTTCATTCTGGGACAGGACAAGTGCATGTTTTATGTGAAGTACTGAGACCTACAGTTGTTTCTGTCACATGGCATCCCCTGGCATAACATCAGTGGTGTCAGCTGCCCTTTTGTGTGGTGCTTTCCATTGTGTATTGTGTCTGTTTTGATTTTTGATTATGTTTAAGCTCTATTAGGGCACATAAGCTGGTAAAATTGTACTAAACTTGTGGCATAAATTTCCGTACTTCAGCACTTTGTCTTAACAGTGAATTTTGTTTGGCTATCTGCAACAAACAGTGAAATATATGCAAATACTCTTTTGATCTAATTCAGAAAGGCAACAGTGGCGAAATTACTTTGGTTTTCTGCTCCTGCTTGATAGAGAGTGCGGTACTTGGCACAGAGTGTCATCCACTGCGGTTCGTGCTTTTGAGTCAGGTTCATCCTTTTGGCAGTTTTGTGCGCTTTTCAAAAGCCAGTGTGGCCAGTTGTCACATCAGACAGTATGCCTTGGAAGAGTGCATCACCTAAGTAGCTTGCTGCCAACCTTTCAGGGATGCCCTTCGTTGAGATTCCTGTGGAAGGGGGTGACCAGCCAGAGGGTAATCGTGCCCAGAGGGACTGGCAAGACGTGGCGGAAACCATATGTGGAGACAGGGATGCAACAGCAAATACAATTCAAAAGGTCACCTTGTTGGCCATGGACGTGGTGAGCAACTTTTCTTTTCCATTTTGATTGCGATCCTTTGCATTTTGATGTTTCATTTTGATTGCATCTGTCCTTTTGGACTGAGATATTGCCCAGTCACCTGCAATGGGATGCCAGGTGATGGAAGCAACGCACAGCAGAGATTAGCATGAACAGCAAGAGAATGTGCACCCAGGGGGTTCCACATTAGCAGGTGTGAAATTCTAAGTGATTACTGCAGTGGAACATAGCCCATTTACGTTCTGTCCAATGCATCCACCAGTCAGCCATTCTGGCAGTCAGCCACCCTCAAACAGCCCTTCTCCCACAGGTCCCACATTCAGTCCACAAAGTCACAGACTAGGTGCTATCAAGTCCCAGACAACGATCTTGTTCCACTATTCTTGACTGCAAGCCCCCAATCCGAATCAAAACTTGATTATGAACCACAACTGCAGAGATGCCATTAGGATGCGATATTCCTCAAATGCCCAGTTGCCCAGAAGAACACTTGGAGAGTTGGGGAAATGTTGCAACAACCAGTAAATGGTCAATAAAGTTCTACAAACTACTGTGCCAGAGGATAATGTATTCGTTGTTGCCCCATGAACCACGGGAAACTGACTGGCTCTCAGAAACGCTCAAAACTATGCTGCCCCTGAGACCCAAGATATCCAACCTTGGACACTTGTGCTGTCTATGAGAACCTGCTGAGGCCTGCCAAAATGCGGGTGCTGTTACAGTGCTGCCAGGAATAGGCAATCGACACAAGTTGTCCTGAGCCGCCGATTGTTGCCCTATTTGCTCCATACCCTTCAAGATCACAGATCCATCATTGATGCAAGCATGTTGCGAGCCACAATCAATGTATAACTGGAGGATATATTGGTATTGCCAATGAAGATGCAATCCAAGGCATCTACAAGGAGTTGAAGGGCTACCTGTGCTGCTCACTGCTGGTTTTCTTGTCCTGATGGCAAGCATAAGGCTTGAGCTTTGACGATTGCATCTTCTACTCCCCATGTGGGTGCATGGCTTATGGGTTCGACTCAATGCATTGCCTGTGCAGCTCAACAAAGCAGGTGCAAACATGTTAACAAGCGATGGCATTGGGGGACAACTCCCAAATGTGAATGAGGCCGAGGATTTTGTTTGGCAATTTGCTCCCCAAGGGAAACAAAGTGATACAGCACCCCAATTCAAGAACTGGCAAAAGATGGCTGAGGAGCACCTGACCCTGTTCCTGGTGAGGCGTTCACATTGTCAGACAAGCAAAACGAGGACATAATATTCACAGGGAAGATTCATGGCCATGGTGATTGTTGGTTCTTGGGACTGCAGATGTATCCACAAGTCTGTTCGATTGTAGCTGTCACATTGGAACAAAGGCTGCATTTGCAAAATCAAGCCAACAAGTGCATTTGTTGAACATCAGAGATGTGTCTCGATGTTGGGATTAGCAAGTATCTACGTGTTTTGAGACCATTCTGTCTGTCTTGTGCAGTTGGCCTTAATGTCAGCATGCTTGAGCACATCATGATTATGGACGCGTACTGTGCTACATGTACCAATTCCACATTTCGAAAGATTTGCATCGCTTTGCAAGAAGATTATTGTTCTGCACAGTGCTGAAACGGCGTTGCTAATCGTTTGTTCCAATCCACAACGCTCCTGCCGACAGAGCATAAAGTTCAAGCCATGAAGAAATGTTGGGTGGCCTTGTGGAGCCGCACAAAAGAGTCCATTTTGGTAGCGCTCGAACAGTGGTGCTCAGTTGCAACAGGAAGTTGAGGGTTCCAAAGGGCTGTGGCGTGATTAACCATCGATGAATGCAAAGATCACCTGTGTGCACAGCATGCGGATCAACAGCATGGGGAGTGTTCAAGTGTTTGCAGAAGTACAAGTGCCACAGTTGTGGCATTCCCATTCACCCCAACATGCCTTGCACAAATGCAAGCCACAGAGTGGCGTCTGTGCCATGCCTTTGCATCGACATTCGTGCAGGGCGTTCCCTATGCCATTGGCATTCCAACAAGGCCCATGCCTGACAATTGCACAAGAGGGGGTGTGCCCAAATCCCAAGAGCCATTTGGACACTGCCAGTAACTGGGTCAGAAACAAGGGCGTCGCCTATTTTGCAACACTTTTGTCTATTCCACATTTTCCATAGTAGCATATTTACATGACTTTTGTGTCTCACCAAAAAAAGGATGGAGCAGCACGTTGTTTGCAGAAATGCCAAATACGGTATGGTATGTCCTTGGCCCATATTTTTTCCCCTATGTTTTGTTATATGCATGCACACCCTTCTGATATGGAGTCTGTGGCAATAACCAACAAGGAAGTAGTTGCACAAAGAGCATGGAAGCCATGTTTCCGTGTTACCATAGTGGCTGTTGCCGCTCCTTCACAACGGCTTGCAGACAACCTTGATGGCACAGTGACTAGTATTCAGCGATTGAAGCCAATTTCGAACAGCAAATGCTTGCTGTTGCTCACAACATTGCCTGTTGTTGATGTGATCACCTTACAGGCCTTAAAAGACCCTGAAGATAGGAAGGCATTCCTGGAGGAAAGGAAGCGAAAGCGACAGGATGCAGACAGATCCATAATGGATCACAATTTGGCTGTGGAGTCCCGCAACAGGGTATGGCCCTGTGACATCACATGCTTCTATTTTCTCTGCTTGCTGGTTTAAAATTGTTTTTGAACTTTGTTTCGTGTCTGAAATGGGTGTTCCAGCTGTCAGATGATCTCTGCATTTGCTTCCAACCACTACGTGCAAGGTGATGTCGTGTCCTGTATGGCTTGGTGTTGTGGGGTTGTGTGAAGATGAATTCATAAACACGAATGACAAAAACGTTGGATGTTCCAATGCTTACTGTCAAGTATGTGCTATTACTTTGCCACTTGTGGCTGATTGCTGCGCTGAGGCCAGTTTGTGGGCATGGTGTGCACTTGAAACAACGACACGTATTTCAGTAAGTGTATCATCAAGGTGTGTCATTCTTTCAGGCCCTTGCTTTGAAAGCACCAAAATGCAAGCAGTGTGCTGGAGAGAAGGCACTTTTCTTGTGCATGCACGGGAGTTTTGCAAGGGAAGGGCTCTCTAGTATTTGAATTGTGCACGACCGCTCAGAATCAATAGTCAGCAAATCCCAAATTCTCATGCAACGCACTATGTGAAAGCAGCGGTGTTATGAACTAGTTTTGAATCTATGGAACTGGTCAGGACGAAACAAAGCTTGACCTGGGAGTATCAAACACACAGCACAACAGCTACAACTTGTTTGCAGATCTCCAAGTGTCACGTTCAATGTACGCAGGCAGCAGATTCCTGGTTTGACAACTTCCGGTAGAGATCTATTTGATCGCTGGTTTCCATGTCTGGCGCACAGGACATTGCCAGAAAATACATGAAGCCATCCAGGGGCGTGGGCCAAAAGGACACCAACAAGAAGAAGGCCTTGGATGCATTGAAGCCGTCCCGTGCTGCCCGATCGTCTGCTCTGACCGGGGCCTCCTTTGGCCCACAGGCGCCGCCCCAACAACTGCAGCCCCATCCCGCAGTCGCCCGTGCGCCGACCTCTCACAGGGCGTCCGTGGATCGGGCACAGTCAGGGGCCTGTGGTAATGGGCATGGTCAGGCCTGCCGCCCCGGGACCTCAGCCTCTGCCTCACAGCGAACGACAGCCAGTCGGGGGCGCGGGACAGGGCGGGGCCGGCCAAGAAGTCTGTTTCCTGGATGTCAGGCTGTCAGTGCAATGGACACGGATTCGGATGGTGGGTGTCCAAATGACGTTCGATCGGTGTTGGATTTTGTTCATTTGTGCCAAGGCCATAGTCTATGACAGCCAGTATGCCCTTAGCTACCACCCACACTGTTGTAAATAAGTGGATAAATAAACAAGTAAGCAAATAAATTAACCCACAACTGGAGCTGAAGGCTTTCTCACGGGGCAAAGCCTAGGCCTTGTACCATTGTCGGAATGACAGACGAGTTCTACATGTTGGCTGTTCACAGGTTGTGGGGGCGACGAGGCCTTCATGGACGGCATGCACCTTGCCAGTGTCTCCAATTGGGATCCAGACATTCCCAATTTCAGCGCTTCAAGGTGGGAGTTTGAACGATCTTCGATTTGCTGCTGCGATGGAGAGCTGAGAATGTGTGAACTTTTGGATCAAGTGTTTGGTGCCAGTTGCCCTTTGTCGTATGCGGACTCACACTTTGGGCATATGTTGTTTTCCTCCAAGTGTTGCATCGCACTTCAGAGTCCAGGTGCAACCACCCCTAGCAGCAGAATGTGGGCCTTGTGCCACTGAACAAATAAGTGAAAGGCAATGCAGAACGCAACTGATTGTTAGTGCTAGATGAATGCGGAAAAGGGCGGGGATTTCGGGCAACAGGGCTGCGCATCTGACAGATAAGAAATTCGGTGAATCGATTTTTGAATTAGGCGCACATATACCTCACGCAGTGCTCCATCCCCACGTGCGAAATCAGCTTCTGCCAGCTCTGTACTAATTTTGGACAATACACCGTACGTTTGTCCTTGTGTCTCTTCGTTCGAATATTCATGCTGATGTTCCCATGATCGGACGATGATCATCTACGCCGTTGTTCCTTCGCCCACACTGCAATTCTTCTACACTGTCCTGCCAGCATCCCGTTTTGCCATTCTCTTCATTGAGCAGCCGCGACGAAGCAGCGGCTTTCTTCACCTTCTCTTCATGATCCAATCGTTTGAAACGCTTTTAACGTTGCAGAACTGAGGAAAAGCACAACAGAGGTATCGCCACAACTGCAGTGTATTCAACCCTTCCGCGTTTTGAAATTTTCAGCGTTACCCTTGGTGCTCTGCATTTGTCGACAGACGATTAGTTTGGGGGGCTCCGCATCACGGATCACAGCCGGAATGGCGACTTCGCTCAGTCCACATCGCCTCAAATCCCGGTTGTCCACCACAGCGACACATGCATCAGGGGGCCGCTAGACGCCAGGAGCGCTCCGTATACCCTACGTTTACGCTATTGCTCCCCATCAAAATGCCGAATGTTGCGCTACAACGCGGTATTAGTTCGTTCCTAAAGCGAAAGCGTGACGAGCGAATTGCATGCGCAGGCTGGCCGCCCAGGGCGAGTCCGACGTCACCGTCAGCGACCCTAACCGGTCCCTTGGGGCCCGTCCCCGCCTGCGCTGCCCCGACGAGGGCACCAGCCGGGCCCACGCCGCCGCCAGCGCCAGCGACCGCACCTCCCTGCCGCCCAAGAAGCAGGCCAAGTTCCGCGACGGCTCAACGCCGGGCCCCAGCAACAGCGGACCCCCCGGCCCATGCAACAGCGGCCCCCCGGATTCGCAACACGGCTACGTGGTCGTCACCGACATCGACGAGCTGAGGGCACGCTGCGGGCAGCCCTCCGGTCAAAGGGATGACTCATCGGGACGCGCCGAACGGCCCGGGGTGCGGAATGCGGACACGGCGACTAGCCCTCAGTCACGGCTGGGCCCGGGGGCCCGCGGTGATCGGCGCGATGATGAGGTGCCGTCGAGGACGTGTTCCTTGGGCGGGGCGCAGAGCGGGCCATCGCGGGGCGGGGGTGGCGGGGGGGAGGGAGCCAGGCGGGTGAGGGTGCGGCCGGGCAGCGGGAGGGCGCATCCCGGCAGGGGGAGGCAGGCATGGGAGGCGGGGGACCGGGAGGCGGCGCCGGCGGTGAAGAGCGAGCCGATGGAGGGAATGGCGGGTGTTCGAGTGAAGGGGGAGGGGCCGTGAGCGGATGAAGAAAGTGGGAGGGAATGTGCGTAACTGTGGGCCACATCATGGCCTCAGCGGCCCATCCACTGTGCCAGAGTGCCTGACGAGAGCTTGACAGAGTATTGTATGTCTTCATGCGAGGGGTTTTCCCATCAGAGCGTCAGCAGCCAATCAACCTTGGCGAATTTGCACTTCCTTGGCGAGCAACGTGCTGTGGAGCGGCGATTGGTGGCGGTGAGGTCTTGGCAGTGGGTGCATGGGACCTCATCATGCACTGAGCAAAATGAGGGGGCGGGGCTGTCCTGCAGGCCAACATGGCGTCGGGAGCGTCGCTGCCGAGCTGCCACAGAGCATGTGATTCAGCTTGGCCAGGCTCCTTTCAATAGCTGTGCCTTGTCAGGTGGGAATGTGAGTGGGAAGCGGACAGTGGGGTTGTTTGTGCCCTGTGCCCTGTTCTGTGGGTTTTCATTGGTCACCTTACAAAAAGTGGAAGCCAGATTGTGCTGGGAGCAACCCAGGTGATGCAGTGTTCTGGGAATGCAAGCAAATTAGCACACAGCATTGCGCAGTGCTTGGGTGCTCGTCTTTCTGCACTTATCTGTGTCCTATAGGGGCAGGGTTGGAGCCCCTTCGAGACTCTGGACAGGGTTCCACACATCCAGCCAGTGATGCGCACCTTTTTGAACGAACCAAATCTGTTTGGATGGTGGGGCTGCAACTGAACAAATAGGTAGACAATGGTGCAGCATGTACACTGCGGCAAATGGCGGTTCTCTTTCATGGCTAGCATGATCGACATCACGGGTGGTGCACCTGACAGGAAAGCGAATGGAATGGTAGGCTGAGGAGAGTATTGTGGCCCATTGATATGGGCTGCAGACTTGCTACATCAACGTGCAACTTGTGACGTCCAAGTGAGCGACATTTGGCGTCAACGTGCATGCCAGTGCACAGTGTGGGCAGTATCAACGCAAATGTGGCATTCACCCATGCCACGCATGCGAGCCCATTACCTGAGCTACACAATGCTCTGAAAGGGCCTCAGTCATGAACGAAACAAGGACGGCGCTGTGGTGACAACCACCAGCTCAAGTCTGCCACAGCACACTCACGCCAACTTCTGCACATAGGCACGGGAGACAGGCCTTAGGGGATTTCAGGGGATGTCTACCACGATCTGCTCATCAAATACGCAGCATTCCGTTGGCGGCCAGGCCCTTTCCTGTCATTCGCCGTTGCCACATCCACACTGGGTTATGCATTGTACACACCGTGCGTGTTGAGCTCCTCACAGCGAGCACACGTGTATGACCGTTCTATGCACACGCACAGCGCCCTCACAACAACAATCACCGTCAATGGTGTCGTAACTGTCGCTGATTGCCGTGTTGACTGCCGCTAACCATCCGTCCCGAACTCGTCCACGACATCGAATTAACACCCGCCCTAAAACGGATGAATCTTGAGTCCGGCACACATCTGTAGACGGTGGGCGGCGGTTGCTGGGACCCACGCTTGGGGCCCTTGGGGCCACATCCACCCGTTCAAGCGCACCGTCCATCCGCTTGGGGCACGGTTCCATCTTTTCCCATTCGCGTCCAACACAACGTCGCCATTTATCTTGTAATAGGACTGGGGAGGAAACGTGATGCAACATTTTGGAATCCCTTAAATCTCGGGGGGCCTTGCCCACCCGTTGTTAACGAAGCTTCACCTTTTCGGTTTATCAATCGGGACAGGATGGCACACTCAGGGCGCTGGACCAAGTCTCATTCAGTCACACTCTTCTTTCCGGGCACTCTTGAAAGCCCTCACACCGGTTTGCCATGCTACCCGCGATGTTTTCCTTAAATAGGACGGTGTAGTCCGGTAGGCCCTGATAGGGAGGCAAATGAACCGCCCGGAACCGCATAGGACTGGTCGGCGCTGACGGGAAGTTGGGCTTGACCGCGGTTCGAGGACAGGCGAGGTCACAAGGACCCCGGGGCGGCCAGTAGGGGCGTGGCCGGCGGGGAGGCATCGAGCATGGCGGTGTCTCCATCGGAGGGCGGCCGTGGAGGAGCGCCCGGGGCAGGGGAGCGACGATTGGCGAACTGGGCGGCAATGAAGGCCGCGTCCCGTCGCATCCAACCGAACCAATGGGCGTCCTCAGCGGTAGGTGTATGCGTGAAGTCGATGTATGAGAACACAGCGTCGCTGCCGAAGCTCCAGCCGCCCCAATAGCAAATGGTCTCGAGGGGCACTCCGATGGCATGCGCGGCAGTGGCACCACCCCTCCGCAGGTCGTGATGTCGAATGGCGCTGCCGAAGAGGGCGGGCCACCTTGGGCCTGGGTGCAAATGGTGGCGACCCAGGAGGCCCGCGGAGGGGGCTCGCCCGGCAGTTGCCAAAAAGCCGGGGGCGGGGAGTGGGGTCCGAAGGCCGTGCAGCGGGCAGAGCGGTAAGCCTCCAAGATCTGGAGGAGGCGGGGGATGCCCGTGGGGTCGAAGGCGCGGACGCGATTCTGTAGGCAGTCCGCGCGCTTCCGCTTGAACCAGACCTCGCGAAAGATAATCTTGCCATCGGCCACCTCGAGGTCTTGGGCCTTGATCGGAAAGGCTGAGTCGCCTCGGTTGAAAAAAGCGAAGTCCAGCGCCAGGAGGAGGATGGCTCGAAGGTGAGGTAGGGGGGCGTCGATGGTGACCCGGTGCAGTAACGCGGACAAGGTGGTGGCCGGAAAGGGAGTGGGCTGGTCGCGGGCCTCGGTGTCGGCGATCTCCAGGCGCCAGGAGGCCAGAATAGCGTTGGATGCCATAGAGGTAGCAGACCTTTTGTCGACGCCGAACCAGCGATGCACGGTGGTAATTGCAGCAAGATATTGAGGTGCTGAGTGGACGTTGATCCCAGACTGACGCAGGGTGTCGATGTAGAGCAGGATGCGGCCGCGATGTGCCGGGACCAGCGAGCAAGGGACTGAGCTGCAATACCGCCACCAACGCTTGAACTTCGAGATGATGCTGGAGCGGCCCGATGGGGCGTTGGACGTGGACAGGGCCCGGAGGATCGAGGCGGCCTCGACAGCGGAGAGGCCAGCGACGACAGGCGGTGAGAAGGAGGGGTCCACGAGGGGAGGACACGAGGTAGGTGGACGGAAGAGTGTCGAGAGTGAATCTTGGAATGAAGGGGGGGCTTGAACAGTGTTGTCCTGCAGAATTGTGAAGTCCGCTGTAGGACGCTCTGAGCCCGCCAAGGGTAGAGTGGGCGCGGGTCGCTGGAGGCGAGGGCGCTTGAATCCACCGGAGGGGGGCGGGTCTGGAGGGGTCGCAGTGGGGCTCACTGGAGGGGCTCGAGATGTTCGAGCTGGGCTGAGCGCGCGAGGCGCTGCCAAGGGCGGGACCGCAAAGCAGCCACCATGGGAGGTGGCGGGGCGGTGCGGTCCACGCGGAGCGCCACAATGCGCCACCTCGGGAGGCCCTGGGGCAGGTGCCCCGAGCGTCCGGAGAGGAAGGTCGAGGGGCCACGAGGAATGGGGACCCAAGCCCAGGCGATGGAGTGGAGCTGCCGGTACCAAGGCTTGCCGATCCGCTCGGGCACCAGAACAGTGGCGTGCACCGAGGGGAGGCTGGTCAGGAGGGCGACGACACGGGGCAGCAACGTCCACGGGGTGTTGACCCAATTGTTGGCGGTGCACCAATCGGGTCCGGAGAAGGCTTCGCCTTCGGAGCCAACGTCTCCCCATCGCGAGTTGTACCGAAGACAATGCCGGTTGAGGGCGGAGGCGAAGCGGTCCACGTGATGGGGCCCGTAGAGGGAGTCGAGGAGGTGGAAGAGAGGTGGGTTGAGTTGCCAGTCTTCGGAATCGCGTAGGCGGGACAAAGTGTCGGGGAGAACGTTGTTGGCCATGGGGATCCAGCGGGGTTAGAACACGATCCGACTGGTGTCCAGAATGTAGAACAATTGCTGTAATCTCCTGTAAAGTGGATCGACGTTGGACTTGAAGGATCGCAGCAGGTGGTAGACCACTTGGGAGTCCGTCATCAAGAGCACGTGCCGGCCCTGGAGCCGGCTCAGAAAGGAGCAGACTGCCCGGATCACCGCTTCGAGCTCCAGCACGTTGATGTGTAGGAGCCGCTCGGTATGGGACCAGAAACCCCGTGCCAAGGCCGGGGCCATGTGGGTTGGACCCAGGGGTACTGATTCCGTCAACTCGGCCCCCCACCCCAAAAGGGAGGCATCGGTGGCCAACACAGCCTGATGCGGGGGGCAAAGGAAGGGGGCCGATTGAAAGCGCGCTGGTAGTCGCTGCCAGAACTGCATCTCGCGTAGGGCTGCCCGGGGAAGGCGGACCATGCTGCGCCACGTAGTCTTGGTGGCCAAGGCCTGGTGGAGATTCCGCTGAAAGAACCGGGCGGGCTTCACTGCCAGAGCCAGAAACTGAACTTGGCCCAAGAAGCGGGCGAGGAGCTTGGCCTTGAGGCACCGGGCCTGGTGATGGCCCGCAGGGTCGTGGCTTGGACGCGAATCTGATCGACCTTCAGAGGTAGGACCGCCAAGGTGGCCGACCTGGATGATACATAAAGTGTGTGGGTGTGGGGTTCCTGCCCTCTTTGAGCTACAGACCTGCCTCGCCGGGCACCTAGGTCCTTACGGGGACCTAGGCGGGACCACCCCTCCTACTCCCGTATCCTAATAAGGATAATGGTTACTATGGGGTAAGGAATAGTAAGCATATCTTGGGCAGGGCGTCCCCCACACCAAGGGCCATTAGTAGGGCGTCCCCCACATCAGGCCGGTGCACGCAACACCAGAGTTGACCACAAAACCCAGGTGGGACAATTCCTGGGTAGGGAGGAGCGTCGATTTTGAAGGCTTGAGCTGCAAACCCAGATCTTGAAGGGCGGGCTGCAAATTGAGAGCAAAGCGACGGAGATCCCGGCTGGATCGATGCACTGCCAGGAAGTCGTCCAGGTAGGGCAGCAGAAAAATTGCCAAATTTGCGCGCCAAATGGCAGCGAGACCCGGCCACCACGAGTGGGGCT